GAGCAGCAAAAGCATTATTGTTACTGGGATTGGTTTTACCTGTCAGATTCTTGGCATTGACCAGGTTCGCAGCTCTTGCTTCCATATTCATATGCTGCAGGTGGGGGTTGCGCTGGCTGAATCGAAGGTGGAGCTCAGGTGCGAGAGGGGGTGTGGGGATAATCTCCTCGCAATCAGGGTGAGGAAGCTGTACCGTGTAGTCCATAGACACCTTTAGGTCAGGTCCCACATCTCCAACCACCTCAGAAATCTGATCTGAATTAGTAACTGAAGAATTTGCAAAAACAGAAGAGGAACTAGCAGGTAAAACATTCACCTGTAGAGATTGATCAGCAACCACACAATCAACAAGATCATGCTTGCATATGTCGCTCTGAGACAACAAGTACTCATCCTCTTGCTGCATTCTGCCAGCAGCCATTTCCAGGGCCAATCTCTCAATCAGCAAAGGACTGTTAGCCCCACCATTGTCACTTTCAGAAGAAGAACTGTTAGCAGGGATCTGATCCTCATCCTTGAGTGACGGCAAGCAACAAGCTTTGCCACCACGATAGGAGGAGGTATTAGCTTTATCAGTCCTCTCTGAGGACTTGTCATCTCCCCCAGGGGGGGTGTCATTACGTTTGCGTTTAGGAGTACCATTCTTCGGGACAGCGTAATGCGGAACCTGAATCGGTTCTTCCTCATGGATAGTGTTTCTCACCAGTACCTCCTCAACCTCATATTGAAATCGATAAAACTGTCCCCCTAAACATCCTTAAACTGAAGTAGGCAGCTTATCAACCTGACGACATCCTAGTTTGACACGCACAGAAGAGGGACGATTGAGGGTCGACATATCAATGTCCAGGGTTACCCCCACTAATCCCCCAATGTAAGCAACATTCTTGTCACATCTCTTGTTAGGTGGGATCTTACTAATTTTCACCCAAGCAACTTCTAGCAGACCCTCAGATTCTACATCCTCAGACCAAGGAGTTATACGGACAACTACTCCCAAGGATCTAAGAGGAATGTATTCAACAAACAGAGCTTTATCCACCTCTCTTTGGTTAGGAAAGCGCATCACATATTGCTTGGGAGCAATCCAGTGAGCCGAACATCTCCACCCCTGACCAATATACTTCTCAAACGCATCTACCAGCTGTTTCATAGTAATTTCCCCCTCAACAATAGTAATGATGACCTTGACTACCCTCTCATTGGACTGGCTGCCAACGAAATAATCATGTATATAATGGAACCCCTGCCCTTTGGCTTGGAACGCACACATCACAGGTATGCACTCCCATGGGAGGAAATCAGTGCAGATCACTGAAAGATGGCCTTTCTTTTTGCATCTGACGCACAGAGCTTGAGGACACTTAGCAGTATAGTGCCCCACATGACTACAGATCTGACAAAGCTCAGAGGAGGAAACAAAATGATCAGGAATACCAGGGGGCTCATGCATCTTGTCAGGAGAGAGAATCTTGTCGTTGTTGCGAGGGTTCGAGCCATCCTCCTCGGCTCCCCATCGATCTTGAGTCAGATCATCCTGCTGCGTACCAGCAGCTTTGTCCCACCGCTCGAAACCAGACTCGTCAGATCCAGACGGAACGTTGGAGGAGGAAGCCCCCGTCGCCGTCTTGCGAGTCCAGACATGGCTATCACGGCCATGCACCCGTCCTCCGCCGCCACCTTCGAACCGGCCGCGGCCGCCATAGCCACGGCCTCTCCCCTCGCCCCGGTTGAACCGGCCCGTGCCGTGGCCATGACGACCCGCACCGAACCCCTCTTCTCTCATCTTTGGTGGTTCACGGGGAGAAGAAGGAGCAGATCTAGGTGGGGGAGAAGAAACAACTTGAGCGAAGGATCTGTGGTCTCCATGGATTTTCCCCTCCCACCAACCGAAGGAAGGATGAACCCTCGGTTTCTCCCTCTCAGGCTTATCCCAAAAATGGG